CGTCACGCCAGAACTGGCTAATAAGGATTTTAACTTGGCAACCGGGACATCTCTGTCTGTAGAAGAGGTACAATAAATAGCAAAGTGTTCATTGCCTCCAGGACTGATCAATAAAAATATATTCAATATTTTTGGCAGACACACTGCAGTGAAGGAAGCCAGAGGAGAATCTTTAATGTAAATCAGTACTACACCACCTGTCATAGCGGTCCACAGTTAGGGCCAAAATCTGAGATCGGTTCAGTCCAAGATAGAAATGTCTGGGCAGCATTCATGCTCCGTTATGTGCAGGTAGTCTAGTTTTGTGATGCTTTGTTTTTCAAATCATTCAGTGTGTGAGCTTAGTCTGGTTCTTGGAGAGATGTCACTGTTTCTGTTATCTGTGATCAGTGTGACCAAATCAGGCTCTAATCCTGATGTCATCAGAAGACAGACATATCTGTGAAGGACTGAGGTTTATTGCCTTCAACATTTCTGAGCCTTGACAGTTTGGGTCCATCTGCTGAAAAAGAAAATGAAGTTTGTCTATGTCTATGAAACTGAATCAGAGAGAACAACATCAATACAGCCATGGATCCTCTCTGACATCACAGCAGGCTTTACTGACAAGAAGACCAAGGATAGCGTGTCTGTTTGCAAACAGTTATACAAATGCATGAAAGAGTCCAGTGAATCAAATCGGAGGATCATTTATTGTAGCAGAGAAAAGGCCACAAAGGATCTCCGGTGTCAGGGTTTAGAAATCCAGAGCTTAATGATGCAGAAACTGAAGGGAAACAGCGAGGGGAAGAAGTTGTTTTTGCAGGATTCACAGGAAAACATGAGAGCTGAGTCTCGTGAGTAGACACACTGATTAAACAAGTCACCGATCATAACAGAGAAGCTCGGCAGCAAACTGTGATCCATGCTGTGAATCCACCGAGCATTTTCTGACGCTGGAGGAAGCAAACTTATTCAAAATCGACGTTCAATATGGAGTCGTATTTCAGTTCCTCCACACCAGCAGGTGGCGGTAAACCACCTATTGATATTTGTCAACGCCAGAAAACAGGAGGAACGAGCGGTCCGGCTTCATCCAGCAGGAGTTTTCTCTCGTTTTGTGGCTCATCTAAAGGTAAGCACCGACCTAAATTTAGCCTGAGCTCAGTTAATCCCGAGTTTAGCTCCTGAAGAGGTCTTCTGCTGCTCTCCTCGGTGCTGCCGCTGTTCTGCATTATCTGCTGATGGTCAGACTGACGTGTGGGAGGTGCCCACAAAGCAGAACAATACAAATAATAATTAAAGAAAACACCGAATATTTCGTCTTTAAAATGCATTTCTTTGCTTTTCGTTTTTAACGCCACACAACAGTCCGCCGTCGCGCTGTTTTTCTCAGAAAAGTCTCTTTCGAGCCGCAAAGCTACAGCCCGATGTAGGTGTCCGCGCAGATGCCTGTTTAGAAATTAGCCAGTGTCCATAATCTGGTCGGTTCTTCCCAGTATTCTTGTTCTTCCCACACACGCGTTTATCATTTGACGATGGTCAGCTCCGCACCTAAAGAGACAGAACCCGGGGCCTGCTATCTGCACAGACCAGCTGGAGGTTTAAGAGGAGCTTGGTTACACTACTGTAGTGCCAAAAAGCGATTTCCAATGTTTCTGTGTGTTTTTATGTGCAATATCTTTACCTATGTTGTTAAATAGACTTCAGTGAACAGGGTTTACAAAGGGGTTCTATATAAATTTTTAAAATGACCTGTTTTTCAAGTATCTTTATAACTCTTTGTTGTTGTACTTGCATATCATTTATGAGGGATACATTTAGCATATGTTTCACATATGTCACATAACACACATAAGTAGTTATTGATAGCAGTTTAAATACAAGCAATCAGTTTTTGGCAAATACCGGAAATCAGGGTTTGGCAGACGATCATTTTTTGGCACAACGCAGCAACCGAGCACAAGCGGCAGGAGAGACGAGACAAAATAGAATACGTAACAGTGGTACAGAAACACACTTCTGTGCCCTTTTCCCCTCTGTAACCGTGGTGGAATACAATCGTTTTAAAAACCGAGGCACACCTGTGCTCAGGCTGAAGGTGGAGGGTGTTGGTTCCCCAGCCCTGCACTTTGGGGTCTGTTAGTCAGAAAGTGAAGCATCCAGTTGCTGGTCAGTATAGAGTTGATTGATGGTCAGCTTAGAGGAGAAGGTGGTATTCTAATGAGCTGTAATGAACAAATAGCATTCAGACATAAATGCTTCTTCCTATTTGAGTCCAGTGATGATGAGGGTGGGGTCAAAATGGAGTAACTTTGTGACAAAGTTGGACAGCTTTTGTTCTAAAGGTTTGGAGAGAGTCTGTGTGTGTGTCTGCATTCACTTTGTTCCTCTAACAGAAAATCAATGTGCAGATGTTGATTCCTGCAGTGACTGTTGTTCTTCATCCTGTAGAAACCATCCTGCAGCTGCTGGAACAAATCACTCCTTTTAATGTTTTCTATTTAGAAGATAATTTTTATTTTCTCTGCTTCTTTTTGTCAGGGATCAAAATGATGTCCTAATCCTTAAAGTTCTGTTTTTGTGTCCCAGCAGGAGAAGAGTCTGACGGAGAAGCCGAGGAACATTTTTAGCCGTTAGGACTGAACTCAGTCGCTACAGAGGAAACAATGAGCTCGACACAAAACGTGAGAAAAATATCTCAGTATATCACAGTACTGTGCGCAAGTCTACAGCCTCATTTCTTCATATTTTGCTTCCAAGCACCCAGACATTCTTGTAGTTTTATTGTGATCTTGAGCATTTTGTGCAATATCTGAAAGCCATGTCCTTAAAACGTAAATTAAAACATAACAGAAAAGTGGTCCAATGCAGACTCCAGTGAGGAAAGCTAGGCGGTCACAAGTCTGCTACAACTATGCATTGTCATTTGAGATAAAGTTCAGCTGGAGGATGATTGAAGAACATTAGAATAGTTCCCAGTTAGATCAGAGCAATATTTTTCCCTGAAATTCTCATCCCTGAAATTCTCATCCCTTATTACTAGGGACAGTCCAGTAGAGTCATTTCTTAGTCGACTAAACAAGGAAAAAATATTAGACTGACTAATCTAAAACTAAGAAACATTTAGATATTAAGTTAAATTTAAAAAAGTTTAAAGTCAAAAACTAATGACAAGCCATCGATCACATTCTTCAACAATAAATCCAGCAGTTTAACTGTGCCGCACCTCGCATCATTCATTATGACTATTACACATTATACTCCAGACAGACAACGACATACCGATGTTAGATATGATGTGAAAACACATTACTGCCAAAGATGTTCACGTATCACTAAAACACGACAAACTAATATCCGAAAAATGAATAAACTGAGACTGAAAAGTACAGCGCATTGTGCCACACGTTATGAATGATGGACCTGGTTTCAAAGTTTATGATGACCACTTTGATAAAAATTAAAATCTAAAATAACAAAACGATTAATACTCCTCCAGCTTATCGATTCAAACATGGAACCATTCCCAGGTTGGCCAGTAGGTGGCCTCCTCCCAGATGTGCCCAGCTGGAACACCTTTCAATGTGGAGGAGTCACGGCTCTACTCTGAACTGCTCCTGGATCACTGAACTCACACCCACCTTCTGGATAAAACTCATTTCTGCCGCTTGTATCTGTGATCTCATTCTGATAGTGTTAAAAAAAGGATGAGACTTAGATTAAACAGATTAGATTAAGTAGGGCTGCTCAATTAATCGAATTTTAATCTCGATTACGATCTGGGCTTACGAACTGAGCCGATTATTAGCCCCTCCCTCGTGCTTTACTGTCGCGCTGCTCCGTGTGGCAAATCAAGCGCACCTCTCTGCATTTCGAACACGTGTCACAACAATTAAGAGCAGCGGTCTCCAACCTTTTTTGCGCCACGGACCGGTTTATGCCCGACAATATTTTCATGGACCGGCCTTTAAGGTGTCACGGATAAATACAACAAAATAAAACTAGTACCGGTACCGAAAAAAGAAGATTTATTCATAACACACGTGAACAGACCCAGGAAAACCGAGTAAACGATAAAAATCGATAACAAAATAACGCTGAAAACCGATAAAAACCCTGAAAACCATACATTTCACACCTGAGCCTCAACTCTCGCGGCCCGGTACCAAACGACTCACAGACCGGTACCGGTCTGAGGCCCGGGGGTGGGGGGCCGCTGATTAAGAGGACCCGAGGGAAGCTCGGAAAGCTAAGCAGAAGTTATTTGGAGAGGAGAGTGACTGCCGTTGGTTGAAAAGAGAGGTAAAAAAAACTTCAGTGGTGTGGAAACATTATGGGTAGGTGGAGTCAGACGTGGATCAAGTAGACACAGTGTGTAAACTTTGCTACAGTGTCGTAGCTGCACCACAGAGCAACACTGCAAAGTTCACTAAACACAGATGTTTACATTTTTCATTGATTTCTTATATTGCAAACATTTGCACTGTTATCAGTATTTGCACTATTTTATATTATGTTTTGACAGTCTTTAAAGTCATTATTCAATACATTGTTATTGTTAAATAAATATCGTCAAATAATCGAGATCTCAATTTCAGTGAAAATAATCGTGATTATCATTTTTGCCATAATCGAGCAGCCCTAAGATTAAGTGACTAATAAGTCTGGTACCGAGTGGTGACGGCAGTCGGTACTCATTGCCCATATTGTAATTAGCATTGCTGCCAAATGCACATTCTTGTTTCAGCATCAGGTGTACAAGGATCTATTATTAGAAACAGTCAGAAGGTTATCTTAGGTTGAATCAGTGACCTTTAACTGGCCGTCAGCATGAAAGGTTGTCTGTTTGTATGTGTTAGCCCTGCAGTAGATTAGTGGCGTTTCCACAATATAACCCTTAATTCTCCACCACAACCCTGTTGTTGATAATTGGCGGATGGATGGATGTTCCATAATTGCGTTTCACTCATTACCTCATTTTGAATCTCTGTCACTGCAGGACCAACATGGATCAGGAAGTCAGCGCTCTCAGGAGGCCGACAAACCTCACAGAAGAAAGGGAGAGAGAAAATACAGCTGTGATGAGTGTGGGAAGTCTTTCATACACATGAGTAGCCTAAAAAGACACCTTGTCTTCCACAGTGACATTAAACCATACAGCTGTGATCAGTGTGGGAAGAGTTTCACCCAGAAAAGCAGCTTGAGCATGCATAAATTCATCCACAGCATTAAACCATACAGGTGCGACGTGTGTGGAAGGTCTTATACTCGATCTGGACATTTAAAAAGTCATCAAGTCATCCACAGTGGAGTGAAACCATTCAAGTGTGACTTGTGTGGAAAGTCTTATACTCAAGCTGGACATTTAAAAAATCACAAAGTCATCCACAGTGGAGTGAAACCATTCAGGTGTGACTTGTGTGGAAAGTCTTTCACTGAGATGAAGAGCCTAAAACGACACGAAGTCTTCCACACCGGAGCTAAACCATTCAGCTGTGATCAGTGTGGGAAGTGTTTCACCCGCAAAGAAGGCTTGGAAAATCACAAGCTCATCCACAGCGGACTTAAACCATACAGCTGTGATCAGTGTGGCAGAGCTTTTACTTGCAGGAAAAATTTATGGATTCATCAAATTACCCACTCTGGAATAAAGCTATACAGCTGTGACGTTTGTGGAAAAACGTTTAGTCATCTGGGGAGCCGAAATAAACATCTGCGCATTCACACCGGGCAGGATGTGTGCTGCTGTGATCTGTGTGGCAAACGCTTTGTTACATACAGCAACTTACAAATCCACAAACTTACCCACACTGAGGAGAGACCTTATAAATGTGAGCTGTGTGATAAGGCTTACAAAGCTCCAAATTCCCTGAAAGTGCACCAGAAGAGTCACACCAGAAAGAGACTGTACAAGTGCAGTTACTGTGACGTAAGTTGTTGGGTTTTTTTAATCTTGTTGTTTTAGGCTGGTTGTTTGGACGACCGCTCAGTAAACTGTATTATGTAATGCATGTAAATGCAGCACTGGGCAATTCGGACATTGTTGTTTTCACAGTCATTATAGAAATCAATGGTCGCTCATTCGTAGTGCTAAAGTTGATATTGCAGTATTTAAGGTTGTGTTGGTTTCAGTATTATTATTTCTGCTCAGGTGTATATACAATACACATTATTTAAGTATCATGAAATAAAGTTTAGGCCACAGTGTTATTTTAGATAAAGCGCTGCTGATAGGATTGTATGATTGTATGATTTGCAGTGTAATATCAGAACTGTTAAAGTATTTGGACTAATATGTTAGTGTTAGTGTAATATTGTAGTTGTATTAGATTGATATTCATCAGTATTGTTGGATTATTAGTATTATACTATTGTATTACTATTGTAGTAACTGATTGGACTTCAAGTATTTTGGTGGTAGTAAGTAAGTAAAAACTTTATTTATATAGCACCTTTCAAGATAAAAATCACAAAGTGCTTCACAGAAGCTAAAACCTAAAAATAAAAATCAACTAAAAGCAAGTTTAAAAAGATGGGTTTTTAGCTGTTTTTTAAAAGCGACCACTGAGTCCACAGATCTCAGGCTCAAAGGGAGAGAGTTCCACAATCTGGGGGCCACAGTTCCAAAAGCTTTGTCGCCTTTTGTTTTCAGCCTCGTGTGCTGGACAGCAAGCAAGCCCTGGTCACATGACCTCAGGGACCTGCTGGGAATGTATGGATGCAAAAGTTCACTTATATATGTTGGTGCTTGTCCATGCAGGGCCCTGAAAGTCAAGGTCAAAACCTTAAACTGGATCCTGAATTTAACGGGGAGCCAGTGCGGCTGAATCAGCAGGGGTGTGACATGGGAAAACTTGGAGGACTTGGTCAGAAGCTTTGCAGCAGCATTCTGAACAACTTGCAGACGATCCAAAGAGGCTTTACATAAACAAGTAAACAAAGAATTACAGTAGTCCAGACGAGATGAAACAAATGCATGAATGACAATTTCTAATTCGGAGCGCCTATACAATGGGACTCAGCTTAGCAATGTTTCTCAAATGATAAAAACAGGAGCGAACCAAAGATTTTACATGGGCATCCAAAGTCAGAGCTGAGTCAATACTAACACCAAGGCTCCTGATAGACGGTTTTGCAAATGTAGCAAGTGGACCCAAGTTTTCCATAACACTAGGTACAAAAGTTTTAGGAGCACAAACAAGAACTTCAGTCTTCTCCTCATTTAGTTGAAGAAAGTTTCCAGCCATCCAACATCTAATGGAGTCTATGCACTTGTGCAAAATCTGTAGCTTGGAAACATCATGGGGCTTAAAGGAGATATATACCTGAATATCATCTGCATAGCAGTGATACGAAATGTCTTTAAAAGTGCTCAAAAGTGTTGAAGAGGAAGTAAATACAGTAAGAACAATAAAGGCCCCAAAACTGAACCTTGTGGCACACCATAGGCAAGAAAAGTAGAAGAGGAACTGTACTTAGAGGTAGCCACAGAAAAGGATCGTTCATGCAAATAGGATTCAAACCAGTCCAAAGCAGCCCCTGATATACCCACCCAGTCTCTCAGCCTATCTAGCAGAATATGATGGTCCACAGTATCAAAGGCGGAGGTCAGGTCCAACATCAACAGAACGGAGCATTCTCCTGCATCACATCTCATTAAAATGTCGTTGGAGACTCTAAGAAGTGTAGTTTCAGTAGAGTGAGCTCTACGAAAGCCAGATTCGAATTTATCCAGAATGCTGTATTCATCTAGAACAGCTATAAGCTGCTTAGCCACAACCTTTTCTAAAATCTTAGAAATGAACGGTAATTTTGAAATCGGTCTGTAGCTACTGAGAAGAGAAGCATCAAGCTTAGGTTTTTTTTTAACAGTGGGTGAATAACAGCATTCTTACAATAAACAGGGACCTGACCAGAAACCAGTGAGGTATTAATAATTGTGAGCACACAGGGACCAATAGACTGAAAGACATTTTTAAACAAAGATCCAGGTAAAATATCAAGAGAGCAGGAGGATGCTTTCATTGAATTAACCAACTTGACCAGCTCAGGTAAGGACACAGGTAAAAATCTTTCTAAAATTACAGGCCTAGCTTGAGTTGGAGCAGACAAGAGAGACACAGAAGGAGAGATACTGTTCCTAGTATTGAAGCACTGGCGTGGCAGGACTTTAAATTACCTTAGTACTGTGTTGCAGTGATATTTGGTGGTAGTACGGTACAGTGGTACTGTAGTAGTGTTGTGGTATTATTGTAATATTATGTGCAGGTACTACAGGGAGTACAGAATTATTAGGCAAGTTGTATTTTTGAGGAATAATGTTATTATTGAACAACAACCATGTTCTCAATGAACCCAAAAAACTCATTAATATCAAAGCTGAATGTTTTTGGAAGTAGTTTTTAGTTTGTTTTTAGTTTTAGCTATTTTAGGGGGATATCTGTGTGTGCAGGTGACTATTACTGTGCATAATTATTAGGCAACTTAACAAAAAACAAATATATACCCATTTCAATAATTTATTTTTACCAGTGAAACCAATATAACATCTCCACATTCACAAATATACATTTCTGACATTCAAAAACAAAACAAAAACAAATCAGCGACCAATATAGCCACCTTTCTTTGCAAGGACACTCAAAAGCCTGCCATCCATGGATTCTGTCAGTGTTTTGATCTGTTCACCATCAACATTGCGTGCAGCAGCAACCACACCCTCCCAGACACTGTTCAGAGAGGTGTACTGTTTTCCCTCCTTTAAATCTCACATTTGATGATGGACCACAGGTTCTCAATGGGGTTCAGATCAGGTGAACAAGGAGGCCATGTCATTAGTTTTCTTCTTTTATACCCTTTCTTGCCAGCCACGCTGTGGAGTACTTGGACGCGTGTGATGGAGCATTGTCCTGCATGAAAATCATGTTTTTCTTGAAGGATGCAGACTTCTTCCTGTACCACTGCTTGAAGAAGGTGTCTTCCAGAAACTGGCAGTAGGACTGGGAGTTGAGCTTGACTCCATCCTCAACCCGAAAAGGCCCCACAAGCTCATCTTTGATGATACCAGCCCAAACCAGTACTCCACCTCCACCTTGCTGGCGTCTGAGTGGGACTGGAGCTCTCTGCCCTTTACCAATCCAGCCACGGGCCCATCCATCTGGCCCATCAAGACTCACTCTCATTTCATCAGTCCATAAAACCTTAGAAAAACCAGTCTTGAGATATTTCTTGGCCCAGTCTTGACGTTTCAGCTTGTGTGTCTTGTTCAGTGGTGGTCGTCTTTCAGCCTTTCTTACCTTGGCCATGTCTCTGAGTATTGCACACCTTGTGCTTTTGGGCACTCCAGTGATGTTGCAGCTCTGAAATATGGCCAAACTGGTGGCAAGTGGCATCTTGGCAGCTGCACGCTTGACTTTTCTCAGTTCGTGGGCAGTTATTTTACGCCTTGGTTTTTCCACACGCTTCTTGCGACCCTGTTGACTATTTTGAATGAAACGCTTGATTGTTCGATGATCACGCCTAAGAAGCTTTGCAATTTTGAGACTGCTGCATCCCTCTGCAAGATATCTCACTATTTTTGACTTTTCTGAGCCTGTCAAGTCCTTCTTTTGACCCATTTTGCCAAAGGAAAGGAAGTTGCCTAATAATTATGCACTCCTGATATAGGGTGTTGATGTCATTAGACCACACCCCTTCTCATTACAGAGATGCACATCACCTAATATGCTTAATTGGTAGTAGGCTTTCGAGCCTATACAGCTTGGAGTTAGACAACATGCATGAAGAGGATGATGTGGACAAAATACTCATTTGCCTAATAATTCTGCACTCCCTATATAGTATTAAATTAGTGTTGTTACAGTGTTGTGGGACAGAGATGCTTTTCATTTTAGGCGACGTTCAGGATACAAATCTTGAGGGATTCCCTGACTTACACTGTCTTTGTGTCTTTGTTTAGAGGCAGAGCGACACAGATGGATCCAGTTCTCAGCCCTGTTGTCACTGTGGTGCTGTGAAACCGTTTTGTTGTGACCTTTGTGGAAAAGCTTACAAGAAGAAAAAAGGCCTGATATGGCATCAGCGTAGACACACTGGACAAAGACTGAACTACTGCAAACAGTGTGGGAAAGGCTTCCCCACTCCAAGTGCATTAAAGCAACATGAACTCTTCCACAATGGTGTGAGAGAGCACGTTTGTGACCAGTGTGGGTCATCCTTCATCACTACAGGTGACCTTAAAGTGCATAAACGCGTCCACACAGGAGAGAAACCATACAAATGCAGCCACTGTAACAAAAGCTTCTCACACTCAAGTAATCGTAACATTCACGAACGTGCACATGAGGAAGACAACTACATGGTTTATCAGCATGATCTTGCAGAACTGAAATCACTGGATCACAATGACTCTGAAGAGACAGAAAGATCCTCTTCTGGTTTCAGGGTTGGACTTAAAAACCTTGAGATCAGGCTCCACAGAGTTCAGATGGAGTCTCCTGTAAAGAGTGTCAGCTGATGTCACACTTGGATCTGATGAGCTAGCTCTGAACCCTGAATCTTAAATTAAATTTCAGCTGAAAACGGCATATCCAGAAGAACAGAATATACTCAATGATTGAGCATGCATCCAGACACTACTGTCTGTACTTTATTCTATTTCTGTTGCTTGTGGGTCTCAGTGAAGATGTCCACGAATGCCTCATGTTCATCAAACTAACTAATACTAAAACTAAGGATATTTCCTCTGTATTGTTATTGTTATTAAGTGCTCTATGGCAGAGAAGAGGGCTCCACTGAGGGCGGTGAAGGCTTCCCAGAGCGTCGTTGGCAGCAGCGTCCCCGCCACAGCAGACACGCACACCGACTGTTCTTCCTACACTGTAAACATGCTTCTTCTTATACTGTAAATACTCTATGTGGAAGTTGAGTGCAGAGCTCACTCGATGTAAATGCATGTGCTGGAATGACAATAAACACCTTAAACCCATGAATGTGCCTCTGTCTGCTCTGACACTCTTCAGTAAGCAGTGTTTTGCACGAGTGGAACGTTTGATTCCAGCTGGAGACACGAATCCTTTCACGCAGAACAACTTTAGTGTTACACTAATATTTTTTTTCTAAAGATCAATGCTCATAAAAAAACTATATTTAAATAATCAAATTAAGTTTAACCTCCTAAGACCCGAACTCTTCAATGGCATGCATTTTTGATTTCTCTTTAATATTGGGGCTGATTGGAACCCGATGAATGTAAAAACAAAGAATCACCAGATTGACTTTTTTTTTTTTACCTGATTTTTGTTTCTAAGAAAAATCAGAGCCACATATGAGGATATTCATTAAAATTTTTTGATAAAAACAGTGGCAGTATGTCCTCGTAAGTGGATATCAGGCCCTTGTAGAGCAAAATTTAGTATTTTGACCCAAAATTTGATGTCCACATATGTGGACAGGAGGGCCTAGGTAGGAGGTTAATGTTCACTGTATTTCGGTTTAGTTCTGTTCCTGCATTGCAGAATGAGCAGCTTCTCACAAACATTTAATCTCACTTCATAGCTGTTCTGTTCAAATGACAGCCTCATTAATGAGGTGACAGCTCACCCGGTGGTTCTCCACTCTTATATGACCTGTACAGTGGACTTTCGGAGAACCCAGTCTGTCCCGTGCACATCAGCCACGATGCAGGACAGGAGAGAGGATCAACAGTGCTGATCTACCTGTACAGGTACAAGGTCAGGAAATATCTCTGCAGAGTTCTCACATCCCGGATATAAACTGCTTAAACTTGGGTGTTTTTTGCACGCAGAAGAGCATAGCAACAGGATCTAATTCAAACTTGATTTTCTACCTGGGATGTACGCTTTGTAGTCCATCTTCAGAACTTTGTAGTTTTCACACAGCAGCTTAACATTATTAATCGGTCTGACTCTCTGAGCACTGACTTTTCATTTCCTAACTCCTGTGTTATTGCAGGGTTTACCTTACAATATAAAGCGCCACTTTGACATCTTTGCTTCTTCCCAGGTGATTAACTGCGATTTTCTACCATGAACCACGTGGGTCTCTGCTCCCTGATCTGTTTCCTGTGTTTGGAAAGAGTTGCAGCTTCATCGCGGAGTTTCTCTCGGTTTGTGGGTTCATCTAAAGGTAAGCACCGAGCTAACTTTACTGTGAGTTCAGTTCATGTTGAGTTTAGCTCCTGAATGAGGTCTTCTGCTGCTCTCCTCGGTGTCTGTTCACAGTTTATTGTGAACACGTTGAGAGAAGAGTGAGAGAGTGTTTGGAGAAAAACACCAACTAACCATTAGCTCAGCATGCTGGGAGAAGTTGGAGCAGAAAAGTCTTTATCAGGGTTACAATAAGCTTCCAGCTGCTGTGGATGAACAAATGAATCTATAAATGTTTTGTAATGTGAGTTTATTGTATCCTTGAATCAACAATACAGTCAGTTTGAGATGCTGTTTACAGGCATGTGGGTTTCACGTGAGGAGAACAAAGGCAAACTTTATATAACACCGCTCCACATCTGTCTCTGCTTAAACAGCTGCAGCCAGTTTCCTTCATCATATTGAGCAGCCAGACAACACGAAAATATACTCCTAATGAGCACTCTGGTTGTTCATGTGAAAAGCCGATTCTGAATTCACAGTTGTGATCAGAAGTTCACATCCACTCATCATGAGCACGAGTTTCATGGTAGTTTTGGGCTCTGACTTCTTTAACTGTTCTTTTTGTAGAATGGACTGTACAGCAGATATCTTTAATGAACAAACAAGAATCCATGTATTTTGTATTTCCTCTAGTTGACACAGATTCAAAAGTATGCGTATGGCCTCAGATATACACATATATCTAGTATTTGATTTAATGTCTGTTAGCAAGTTGCACTTCGACCAGATGTTTTTGGTAGCCATCACTAACTCTTGGCTGGATATTTGACTACTGTGGGAAATTTCCTGGTGACACGTTTTCAACAATTACATTATAAAATGAAGTAGGATCTCTTCCTCTCTTTTTATAGTCTGGTAACCATTCCTCTGATCACATGTCTGAGTCAAGTCAACAGTCCTCACCTGTTTGTGCAAAAGAAGAGTGAGATGCCTCACCTTTCTTTGAGCGTGCTCAGTGGTTGACTTTATTAAGCACCGATAATCAAACGGCAGATATTGCTGAGTGGGATGGGAAAGTTTGGCTATGTTGTACACCCTTGTGGTCATTTAAAACATTAACACAGACATTCTTTGTTTTTTTGAATGAAAATTCATCTTTTTAATGCTTATTTATTTATTTGTCAAATTTAATGTCAGAGCTTCTAATAAGCTGCAGGAATGCTGTGTGAGTGGAGAACAGCCAGGTGTCCCCGTCTGATAAACCTCCATCAGTGCCACTGAAAACAGTCACTTTGACTGTAAACATGTTTCCATTTCTCACTTCACTCTTTTGGCATTTAAGTTTTTTATTGATTTTGCAACATATACTTAAACCTGTATAAGAGGGGGAAAACCCCCCCAAAAAACAGAAAAAAACACCCACAAGAAAACTGCTGTTGTACACCTCTGCCCTTACAAGTCTAAAAGAAAGAAAAGAGTAACTAACAATGGGTTCCAAGAGAAGAAACACAGAAATGGGCAAATAAAATTGACCGTTAGGTAACATTTGGACCGGTGGTCACAGTTAATAGTCCTTCAAATTACAATAATACGGTCAAAATCCTGTTTGCTTCAAATAGCTCCAAAAGTAGTCCCAATGTTCATCTTTGACTTCTGTGTCATTTTTAAGTTTATTCAGCATGGACTCATAGGAAGCAGTCTCAGTTCAGGACATACTGCAGTCTTCCAGTGCCTAAGGATAATCCTCGATGCAGTTACCAGTCCAACCATAACAACCGTAAAAATATTATTGAGAGTTCTTGGAATATGAGAACGGTCTCCTAACAAGCACAATTCAGGAGTCAAGGGCACTTCTGATCCTGAACAACCTTCTAAGAGTGTGATGACTTCCTTCCAAAAAGGAGCTATAAAGGAACATTCCCAAAAACAATGTAGGAAAGTCCCCGCCTCAATTGTACATTTCCAACAGAGATAGTCAGGCATAAGCTTCATACGATGTAATCTTGTTGGAGTATGATAATATCTATGCAGAATTTAATAATGTATGCATTTGCTCGTCGCCTCCTTAACATAAAGCCTATTTCCCGCCAAAATGCCCATCCATTTTTCGTTTGGAATTGGTGCATTTAAATCTTTCTGCCACAAAGTTTTAATGTTCGAACATTCCCCACTTCTATTATCGTTTACCAGCCTATAAAAACACGTTGCTGTGTGGTGCTCCTGAGGCATATTTATAAAATTTAGAACAAGATTTTCATGTCCCCTTCTGAACTTCGATGTCACACAATGTCTAATTTGCAAATATCTCCAGAAATTTTCCTTCCCTTCCAATTTGTATGTTTGAACAAGGTCTCTATAGGACATAAATTTTCCATCTTTAGATAAGTCGCTAATAACAATTATGCCATGAGACTGCCACAATTTCCAAAACACGTTTTTTTCCTATATGAATAGCTGGATTGTTCTAAAGAGATGAGTAAAACTGCACATGAGGTGATATTTTAAGAATTCTATGTATATTGAGCCAAACCTGGCTAGAATGAAACAAAATTGGGTTCAGTGAAGTGCAGCTTTGAGACAACATACCTTTTGGATCAAAAGGAGTATAAATCTCAGACTCTATACTTAGCCATTCCTGTCCAGCTTGATTTATTCCCCAGTAAATAACCAATTTTGCCATCTCGAATGAGACTGAATATAATCTTGGATCGGGTAAACTTAAACCACCCTTCTCCCTTCTCTCATATAATTTAAGCATATAATTTACTTAGCTTGATTCTTGCCCTTTTCCCATCCCACAGACACTGCTTAATTAAGTTCAATTCAATTCAATTTTATTTATATAGCGCCAAATCACAACAAAAGCCGCCTCAAGGTGCTTTATATTGTACAGTAGATCGCACAATAATAGATACAGAGAAAACCCAACAATCATATGACCCCCTATGAGCAAGCAGTTTGGCGACAGTGGGAAGGAAAAACTCCCTTTTAACAGGAAGAAACCTCTGGCAGAACCAGGCTCAGGGAGGGGCGGGCCATCTGCTGCGACCGGTTGGGGTGAGAGAACGAAGACAGGATAAAAGACATGCCGTGGAAGAGAGACAGCGATTAATAACAGATATGATTCAATGCAGAGAGGTCTATTAATACATAGTGAGTGAGAAAGGTGACTGGAAAGGAAAAACTCAATGCATCATGGGTAGGGATGGGTACCGGTGTCCGGTGCCATGATGGCACCGGTTCTGACATAAACGGTAGTAACCAGACCGAAAAGCAGTGCACATTTCGGTGCTTTATTTCGGTGCTTTTTTTTTCCTGAGCTGTGATACACTTTAGACTTTAGCCAATCATTTTACGTTTCCGAGGATTGTAGGCAGGGCCAGGTACGTACGTTCTGTTAGAGCAGAGCTACAGATTAAAAATGTCCAAGGCGAAGCGGTCAAAAGTCTGGCTGTACTTCATAGCAAAATATGCAAACTCAGCAGCAACAAGTGCTTTAAGCTGATACTGTGATACTGTCAAAGGAGGTAACACCTCAAATCCGATGAAACACCTGGCGACGCATAGCGCTTTTTTTAAAAGCCCAGAAATGCGCCGTATTTGATAGCTTGCTGCGAGACCTCATACCGAGCACATCTACTGCGGGTGGGTTGCCTGTTATGCAACATCCCCCAAAAACACGAAGAGGAGAGTCCTGGCCCCTAGCCCTGCCAGTGTAGCAGAAATGATGACGGATGATGGTGGCAGCAGCCGTTCTTCTCTGCGTGAGTAGCTAATTTACGTTGAGTAGGCTAACCACGTTATTACATTAATGCATGTAAGGTGAACTAGCAAACATCATCATAGCTACATGCGGCTGTCTTCTTGTTTGATGGCA